TCTTCAAGGTCCCATTCGATGCTCTTGATGTTGGTCTTGAGCTGTTCCGTGGTGTGCTTGAATTCTGCGTCATCTGCCGACCGCGACGTGAACATGCGCTGCCATCTTGCATACAACCGCTCTGCATTGGCAATCGAGTTTTCCACTTCCCTAGGAACGTGAGCGTGCGTGTGTGCGTGTGTGCGTGTGTGTGTGTGCGTGTGTGCGTGTGTGTGTGCGTGTGTGCGTGTGTGTGCATATGTGCGTGCGTGCGTGTGCGTGCGTGCGTGTGCGTGTATGCGTGTGCGTGAGCGAAAGCAGCAGCGTTCATCACACAAGGAGCATGGTCAAGCATCTCGAACCAACAGCCAGCTGGTTCAAATCAATACAAACACCACAAACTCGCATAGAACGTGGAGAAAGGCAACCGCATTGCAAAGGCATTAGATTCAAAACAAGCGTACTCCTTCACGACAAAGTATGGGTCTGTGCTTGACGCCATGACGCTTCTTCCTTCTTGTTCGCTGCCCTTGTCAATACTGCTCGCTGCCGACAATAGGACAATGGATGTGGTGGATGGAATGGTGTGCTGGGACTTTGCTGTGTATTGGTTGCTGTGTAAAGTCAATTTTGCCTTTGCGGGTCAACATAAAGTCAAACTTGACATTTACCCACGAGGCAACCAGAAGGAAGACGAGAAGCACGTTGCGCTGCTGCCAAGACCACCACCACACCACCTATCGCGGTTGACGCAGACGGCTCACGATGAGGAAACTCAGGCATCATGAGAAGAAGCTACTGAGGAAGGTGGACTTCTATGACAAGAAGCTCCGCGCGGGAGAGATTATGCGTCGTTACCACATTCAGAACCGCGAGGACTACACAAAGTGCGTCTTTAAGGGGTGTGTGTGTTTTTGTGTGCATGCATGTGTGTGGCTGTGTGCCTGCTTGTGCTCTTGTGTTCTTGTGCGTGGGGGAGTTGCGTTTTGTTGCGCTCCAAGCGCAAACGCACAACCACGCAAACACACACACACACACTCACTCACAATCGCACAAACACGCCCACGCTCCACTCCTTATGCCGCGTCTAGATACAACCGCTTGGCAGGCAAAAGTGAGTGCCGCCTGTCCGCTGTGCACTTGCGTGAATCCCTGGTGTGTTGCAGATCCGCCTTGTTCTCACCAACGATCAACTCACCCCTTCCCCCTCCCCCAACCTCCACCATTATTGCCAGTCACAAAGCTGGTGGCCATGCTCCGGGAGCTGGATCCAAACGACAAGATCCGTCAAGTCACCACAGACCACCTCCTCACCAAGCTGTACGTTTACCTCCGCGTACATTCGACACAATATCGTGTGAATGCATCATGCGTATTGGGGCCTCTCTGTGACCCTCGCCCACGCGAAAACTCACGCATGCCTGTTGTCTTGCTGCTGCTGCGTCATCATGCTGTTGGTGTTCTTGTTTCTGCTGCTGCTACTGTCGTGTGTGCCAGGTACGCGATGGGGGTGCTGACTAACAAGACAACACAGCTGTCGGATTGTGAGCAGCTGTCGACGTCCCGCTTCTGCGCCCGCCGCCTCCCAGTCGTCATGGTGCGTGGTGTGTGTGTGCTTGCGTGTGTGTGTGTGTGTGTGTGCATGCGTGTGTGTGTGTGTGTGTGTGAGTGTGTGTGTGTGTGCTCGAGCGAAAGTATGTGTGTGAGTGTTTTGCGCGTGCGTGAGAGTGTTTTGCACGTGCGTGTGAGATGATTGCTTTGCATCAAGTGTGCTGGATCTTTGCTGAATCTTTGTGGTGATCGTGGTGTTTGGGTGCAGGTGCGACTCAAGATGGCGCAGACAGTCAAGGAGGCCGTCAAGTTGGTTGAACAAGGACATGTTCGTGTTGGCCCCGATCCCGTCACAGACCCCGCATACCTCGTCACCAGGTCTGCGCACGTTTGTGTCTGTGTGTCTGTGTGTGTGTGTGTGTCTGTGTGTGTCTGTGTGTGTCTGTGTGTGTCTGTGTGTCTGTGTGTCTGTGTGTGTGTGAAGGCAGGGTCGTCTCATGATGGTTTTGCCAGCCCTCACCGTCCCCCTTTTGTCGGTTCCCATTTTTGTGCTTGCAGGCAACGCGAGGATCTCGTCACGTGGGTGGACAACTCCAAGATCCGCCGCCACGTCCTCAAATACAACGACAAGCTCGATGACTTTGACCTCCTCTAACTCTGTGTGTGTGTGTGTGTGCGCGCGCGCGTGTGTGTGTGTGTGTGCGCGTGTGTGTTTGTCTGTGTGTCTGCGTGTGTATGTGCGTGTGATGTTTCATTGATGGGCGTTGCTGTATTGAGACCCTACTGCCTCTGTCTGTTGGCTGTACCAACACCAACCTTATGCATGGATAGAAGACCAAACAACACCAACGCTACCGACCCTTTTTCATGTGGGAGAGGGAAAGTGAGGAAGTGGATGTTCTGGTGCTTCATGTAATTGCACTGACAGGCAAACAGCCGGGTTGACAGAAGCATGCAAACAGCGGAAGGAAAGAAATTCAACACAACACGCACACATCAGAGACAAGAGAGCTGACCGACTGCACTCTTCACAAGAAACAACGAAAGAGCAAACACATCACGCACACATACACACACACATACACACACACACACACAATGACACGTTTGTTGGGTTCCGGTCGTTCATTCGTAGTAGCAGGCATAGACAGTGGCGACAGCATACAAGTTGGAGTTGCGGTACGACGCAGAGGCGAAGTTATCCTTGTCCTTGTCAAACAAGCACCGGGATGCCTAGCGCGCAGGCACAATGCAACCAGTGGTGGTGATGAGGTGCGAAAGGGATGAGAGAACAGCAGAACGAAAGCAAAAAGAGACAAACACAGCCACTCAAACGCACACAGACATGCAGACACACAGACACAGACATACACAGACACACACACGCGCAGGCGCAGACACAGACACAGACATACACAGACACACACACACTCTCTCTCTCTGTTTGTTTCTTGAGCGAAGCTGCTGAACTCACCACTGTGACGCCTTGATCTGCTGCCTCCCCCAACGCAACTACTGTGACGATTTTGTATCTGCAAGCAGGCAAGCAAACATGACGGGGCCGCGGTCATGGTGAGCAAGAACACGAATATACACGCGCTCACACACGCACACACATACACGCTGTCTGACTGACTGACTGACTGACTCACTAACCCATTGCTCACACACACTCACGCATACACACACAGACACACAACATGCACACGCAGTGCGCAACCTTGTGTACTCGAGGGCTTTGACGCGGTTTGTGATGATGGTTGACAGCGTTTTCGACATCTATGGTAAACGACGTGCACCGCAAGCAGGCACTCGAGATTAGTAGGAATCGTGAATGGGTCCATAAGCAAGTTGCAACCAAAACCGGCACTGCCCTCCTAACTCCAAGACAGTCGCAGACAGAGACAATCGATAATAGACCGCGCGCACTTACAGACCGCACAGTACTCTACCACGCAAGCCAACACTCATGCGACGCAAGTACACTCATGCGCAACGCAAGTGCACTCACACAAACGCGCACACAATCGAGCGCGCACCCACAACCACACAAACAAACAAACAAACACACACACATACACACACATACACACACAAATCGACTCACTCACCCACTCCACGCATACACACGCGCGCGCGAGCTAAAACATGAAGCGAGCGGCTGACCTGTCGTGTTGCTCTCGCATCGTACTTCTCCTCCTCGAGTTGACCCTCCAGCACCTCTCTGATAATTGCTGTCACTGCGCTTTCGCTGAACTTTTTGTCCGGGTCCAGCTGGTATGTGTTCTCGAGCGGAGTGACAGGCCTCTTTGGGCCCTCCTGTTGGTGTTGTTGTTGTCAGCGACGGCGGTGGTGGTGTTCGCAGCGATGCATATGGTCGAGGGCATGTGGGGCTGATTGAGTGAGGGTTGTGTGCAAGCACGGAAACTGTGTGCAGCACACACGGCTTGCGAGGGGAGAGCGGGTTCAAGAACCTCTTCCAACAGGTACCCGCGCTCTTGTAGCGCAGTGCAACACCACCACCAACAACCACAACACCAACACCCATCGCACCACAAACACCAACATTATCACCAACTCCAATTGCACCCCAGGAAAACAACAAGTCACACGCACGTCTTGGTCGGGGACATCGCTGGCGTCAACTTGGCTGGTGGCGGCAATCTCTGGTCGGCTGATCGAGAACAGGCTGCTGCGCCGATCCAGCGCTTCCCCAACGCTCACTTGCGACATGCTCGACGATGGTCGGATACACAAAGGGTGTTGGCTGTTGGCAGCGTTGTCGTTTCCAAGCACGGAGAAATTTAATGGTTGATATTCGTTAAATTTCATCAGAGGCTGTGTGTGTGTGTGTGTGTGTGTGTGTGTGTGTGTGTGTGTGTGTGCGCGCGCGTGTGTGCTCTTTCCAATGTGCACTCTATCTCCTTTGTGCTCGCTCTGTCCAATGCACACACACACACACACACACTCTCTCTCTTTGTGTCTTTGCCTCTGCTGTGTCGATTGATTTGATGCATTTGAGAGCCAAGACAAAACAAAGCAACAGCCAACAGCACCATCACCAACACAAGTCAACCAGCGTACCTCGCAGTGTTTCTCCTCGTGACCTCTTTCCTCTCCTCCTCTTCAAATCCTAGCACATAATCACGCACACGCACATGCAAGAGTACACAAGCAGGGCATTCGCCACCATGCACAATACAGCATGCATTCAAAAAAAAGCCACAACAACGACAACGGCACACACGGACATGGACACGTGCATGCGTGTGCGTGCGTGGCTGTTTCACCAGTCGTCACCAAACGTAAAGGAGTTGACAGAGACGGTGTCAATCTGGCCGCCGCGGTAGCTGCCGCGCTTCTTCTTTGTCTTCTCGTGCCGGAATGACTTGCCGCGTGTCACCTTCAGCTGCTCCGCGGCCCGCGCACCCCAGCCCTCGTTTCCCCACGTGCCCTCGTACGAGTTGTCTGCCAGCGCTGGGTTCACCTGGGGAATATGGCGCAAACAGCGACATGCACGAGTCAAATCGCCCGCGTGTGTCCCACGCACACACACATACACACACGCACACACATACACACACACGCACGCACACGCACACAGAGGCACGCACACACACACACACACACACACACACACACACATACACGCACACACACACGCACAGAGCACTAAGCAGCATGTGTGCAACGAACCGTGACTTCCTCGGCGCGCACGCGGCGGTACGGGACGTTGGGCTTGCGGCTGCCACGCTTGCCCGGCGTCGTCTTGGGTGCAGCGTGACCGTTGCCGTGGCTGCTGCGAACTTGGTTTGCAGGCGTCGTTGGCAGCGACTGGTGATCAGGCAGAGACAATAGGCCGTATGCGTGTGAGTGCCATCCATGAAAAGATCAACACAACGATTCAACTTGGAAAGAAGTACAACAGCAAAACATAACACAGCGAAAGGGCGCCCACTCTTTGCAGGAACTCATTCAACATACCTTCGATTTGTCTGCCGACAACTTGGCTCGCTTGGTTGAGTGCTGTGCGTTGTCGTTGCTGTCGCTATCGTCATCGGAGGAGTCGGCCTTGCTGGTAGCAGAGCGCTTGACAGACTTGCCGTTGATGCCCGCTTTCTTGTCCTTCTTCTCCTCCCTCTTCGTTTTCTTCGCCTTGCCATCGTCCTCGTCATCGCTATCGTCACTGTCATCACTATCATCGTCATCATCGTCGGAGCTATCAGAGCTGCTGTCGGCCTTCTTATCGTCTTTCTTCTCATCGTCATCATCGCCACTGCTATCATCGTCATCAGAACTGTCGTCATCATCACTGCTGTCATCGCTCTCCTTCTTCGCGCGCTTCGCTGGCTGCTCGCCATCCGACTCGTCATCGGAGCTGTCAGAGTCACTGCTGTCGGCTTCCTCTTCCTTCTTCTCCTTCTCATCCTCGTCAGAGTCTGAGTCAGAATCAGAATCGCTGCTGTCTTTGTCATCGGTCTCCTTCTTGGGTCGTTTGGCAGACTGCTCACCATCACCATCACTGTCGCTGTCCGAGCTGTCGCTGTCACCCTCCTTCTTGTCGTCCTTCTTCTTGTCATCCTCCTCATCATCGCTGCTGTCACTGTCACTGTCGGAGCTGTCACCCTCCTTCTTGTCGTCCTTCTTCTTGTCATCCTCCTCATCATCGCTGCTGTCGCTGTCACTGTCGGAGCTGTCATCCTTCTTGTCATCCTTCTTGTCATCCTCCTCATCATCGCTGCTGTCACTGTCACTGTCGGAGCTGTCATCCTTCTTGTCATCCTTCTTCTTGTCATCCTCCTCATCATCGCTGCTGTCGCTGTCACTGTCGGAGCTGTCATCCTTCTTGTCGTCCTTCTTCTTGTCATCCTCCTCATCATCGCTGCTGTCACTGTCACTGTCGGAGCTGTCATCCTTCTTGTCATCCTTCTTCTTGTCATCCTCCTCATCATCGCTGCTGTCGCTGTCACTGTCGGAGCTGTCATCCTTCTTGTCGTCCTTCTTCTTGTCATCCTCCTCATCATCGCTGCTGTCGCTGTCACTGTCGGAGCTGTCATCCTTCTTGTCGTCCTTCTTCTTGTCATCCTCCTCATCATCGCTGCTGTCGCTGTCACTGTCGGAGCTGTCATCCTTCTTGTCATCCTTCTTCTTGTCATCCTCCTCATCATCGCTGCTGTCACTGTCGCTGTCACTGTCACTGTCGCTGTCGGAGCTGTCATCCTTCTTGTCATCCTTCTTCTTGTCATCCTCCTCATCATCGTCAGAGCTGTCATCATCATCACCATCATCATCGCTGTCACTGTCATCGCTGTCACTGTCATCGCTGCTGCTGCTGCTTTCGTCATCCGAGTCGTCGTCACTCTCGTACGGCTCTTGAGCGTACAGGGCTTCCTCGCCCTCGGCCAGAAGCAGCATATCCGCGACCGTCAACATCCTACCGCTTGCCAGAGAAAAATAGGCAAAAGTGGAATAGACAGAAGTAGACAAGTTCTCACACGCACACTTGTGTCCAAAGGCACGCCGCACTTGCTTATTTGCTCGCGAGGAACGTGAAGAGGAGGCGGTGGGGAGAGGGAGAGAGGGAGAAGGAGCACAGAGGGGTCGACCTCAGCTTGGACCACGTGGATGGGTTGGTGGCGAGTGTGTGACAGACACGCTGGGCTTGTGCGACTGGATTGCGGGCGAACGAAAATTCACGAACCATTTCAAGGACTTGGCACTGTCCAGTTAACGGTACATGGAATCCTTACTGGCCAGACAATAAATTAAATTCCTCTTCTTCTGAAAAACCGACCGTTTGCACCAGGTCTGTGTGTGACACACAACCGCGCACCAAGCGAGCGAGCAAAGCGCACCACCGGCAACAGCGCACAGCGATAGCCAGCCACACACAACCCCCGTCACTTGCTTGCTTGCTTGCTTGCCACTGCGTGTCACTGGTGCGTGTGTGCGTGTGCATGTTGATGCGCGCGAGCCTGTGTTTATTCATCAGCAGCCACCACCACCAGCACTGCTGGGAGAGTGTGGCCATCCACCAGCACACACACACACACACACACACGACAAGCGTCTGCTGATACCAACAGTGAGGGAGTGGCAAGCAACCACCAACCCAGCGTCAGGCAGCATCGAGGAGGATAGACGAGTCATTGAACGTCCCCACCCCACCCCTCAAACACAACACAGCACACACACGCACAAAACTACGCAGCCCTTTCTTGGCCATGGCATCAGAGCTGCAGTTGGATGAGTTTGCCTTTCAGGGCAAGTCGCAGCAGGTGTCCCCAGCAACGTATGTTCACACCTATCTGCGCAACCTCAACACCACACACACACACATACGCACACACATACGCACACAGACACCCCGCTCCTGTTTCTGCGTGGACCTTGCAACTGAACGGCAAGCCACGAACCAACTCTGCTCACTCACCCGTCATCCTTCGCGCACCCCTGCTGATCTTGCTTGCCTGTGATGCAGTGGCAGTGCAGCCGAAGCTGCCACCTCAGACTCGCCTGCCACCGAGAGCATCGAGCACACGCAGCCCGATGCGGACACTGGCAACGGTTACGATGAGAGTGAGAACGATGACAGCAGCCGACAGCGACGCATGAGCGACACATCGTACAATGCAGAGGAGGACGAGGAAGATGATGATGACGACGATGGGGACAATGATGATGGCAGCGGCGCATATCACGACAGCAACGAGTCCACCAGTGACAGTGGCTCTGATGAGCCGGCATCTCTACGAGGGAACAAAGCCCGCAAGTCGCGGTTCGCGCGCGACACGGTGGTGGAGGAGGCAATTGCAAATCCAGAGCTGTTTGGGCTGCGGCGGTCTGGGCGCGAGCGGCGACAGCGGCGCGACAGATTGGAGGAGATGTACAAGCAAGAGGAGGCTGCACGACAGGCTGCACGCAGCACACGCCGCAAGACAACAGCAAAAGGGCGCAAGACGCGCGGTGCTGGTGGTGGTGGCAGAAGAAGAAAAGCAAGATCCCAGTGGACCAGCAGCGACGATGATGATAATGACGACGACGACGACGAGGATGATGATGATGATGACAGCGACGAGAGTGACTCCTCGGGCGATTGGGGGGCGCGCAACAGGCGTGGTGGTGGCGGCGGCCGCGGACGGCAGGCCTCTGAATCCGACGAGAGCGAGGAGAGCGACGGATGGGTGCCGGGCAACGCCAGACCCAAACGAAGCAAGCGCACCACGCGCCGTCGCACCAAGCGGCGCGGCCGTGGCGGCGACAGTGACGATGACGACGATGACGACGACTACAGTGCGCACATCCCGCAGCGCATCAGCTTCCGCAACACGGGCCGGAGCGTGAACTACCGCGAGTCGGATACAGACGAGGGCCTGGACGAGGAGGAGCGCCTCGCCATTCGCGCCGCGCAGCAGACCGAGGTTGCTTTCCAGCACGCGTACATGTGTGTGTGTGTGGGGGGGGGGGTGAGCATGTGCGTTTGTATTCACGTGAATGTGTTTGTATGTGTGTATGTGAATGTGTGTGCATGCATGTGAATGTGTGTGCATGTGGTGCTGCTGTTTGAGTGCCCTTATTGGGGGTGAGCTTGGCGGCGTTGCTGATTGCTACTGTGCGGCTGTACCACATCCCTGCATGGCTGCATTGCGTGTGCTTCCCATCAGGACACGCGCGAGCGTATCAACCTGATAGTCGTTCACAAACAGAGGAAGGACGTCGTGCAAGAGGTGCGTCGCACTGAACATGCATGTGTACTTTTATGTGTTTATGTGTGTGTGTGTGTGTGTGCGCATGTTTTCATGCTTGTGCATACATGCATGTGTACATGTCGTATGTTCGGTGAATACTGCTACTCCTGATGGCATCTCACTGACACTGTTCTCAATACTGAACTGCGTCCTACCACCACCATCTCTTCCTCGTTGCCAGATGCGCCACTTGCTCTCGCTCGAAGAAATCATTGCTGGCGAGAAAGAAGGTGAACACAAACACACATACACACACACTCTCTCAAACGTGCCAGGCACTTCGCGGCCTCTTGTCCATTCCGCAACTCATGTACATGTACATGCGCTTGTGCATCTGTGTGCGTGCGTGTGCGTGTGTGCGTGCGTGTGTGTGTGTGTGTGTGTGTGTGTGTGTGTGTGTGTGTGTGTGTGTGTGTGTGTGTGTGTGTGTGTCAGCTCCGCCGGGCAAGACGCTGGAGGAGATTCAAGAGGACATTGATTCGTCGCTGGTGTCCGTCCTTGGGAAATCAGAAGAAGACGCAGCACAGCTTGAGCAGGTGTGTGTTGTGTGTGTGTGTACGTGCGTGTGTGCGTGTTTGCTCCTCTTGTTGACCTCTTCTTCGTGTAGCCTACCTGTGTTAGTGTACTCCCACCCTCCCTCCAAATGCGTGTTGTCCACCCCTTCATCCCTATTCTTCGTGTCTCTGCTTCAGGGTGGCGACGGCGATGATATGCTGTACTGCATCAACTGGGTTGGCCGCTCCCACATCCACAACACCTGGCACACCGGTACGAAACGACCCCTGCCTGAGAGGTTGCAGTCGCGTCCATACCATACAACACACACACACACACATAACCAAACAAATACACAAACGAATAAACACACACACAACCAAATACACAAACCAAACACACACACACAAACAAATTCACAAACAAACAAAACACACACCGCTGACACCTCCACTCTGCGCAACGCACGATGGGCAGCCGGGGAGCTGCGGTCGATGGACATCGCCGGGGTGAAGAAGTTGGACAACTACCGGCGCGACGTGCGACTGCGAGAAGAGTCACTCAACGATCCAAAGACAACAACAGAGGACCGCGAATACTTCAACTGCCAGGTGCTCGCGGCACTGTGGTGTGCTTCTTCATATTCTCTCTGTCTCTCTCTCTCTGTCTCTCTCTCTCTCTCTCTCTCTCTCTCTCTCTCTCTCTCTCTCTCTCTCTCTCTCTCTCTCTCTCTCTCTCTCTCTCTCTCTCTCTCTCTCTCTCTCTCTCTCTCTCTCTCTCTCTCTCTCTCTCTCTCTCTCTCTCTCTCTCTCTCTGCTCTACTCTTTTCCTTGGCATGGCATCCACCACCTTACTGCTAGCGCGAACATGCTGCAACACACACGCACACATTCATCCATTCACGAACACACACACAAGCCGTGCGCTCACATGCGTTCAAACACACACACTCTCTCGTGCGCACATATTCTTGGACAACCTCCGCTACATGGTCTTATTTGATCAGCTTGAGATGCACTACGAGGCGCTGGCGAAACACAAAGTTGTGGAGCGAATTGTGCTCAACCGAACCCTGGGCCACGGGCAGACGTGGGACGACGACGATGACGTGGAGTACCTGTGCAAGTGGTTTGGTCTCGACTATGACTGCAACACATGGGAGTCTGCAAACCTCATCTGCCCACGGTACGTGCACACCGTGTGGGTATGCTCATGTGTGCGTGCGGGTGTGCATGTGTGTGTGTGTGTGCGTGCATGTGTGTGCGTGTGTGCGTGTACAGGCAACGGAAGGAGAAACACTCACAACAACACCACCTCCACCTCCACCTCCACCTCCACCTCCACCTCCACCACCACTACTGTTGGTAGGTTTCAATCGCTCGTTGACGAGTACCTGGAGCGACAGAACTCGAGCACGCTGCCCACCACCACGACACGACGCAAGCGCGAACCGTTTCGTATGATCCGCCAACAGCCGTCCTGGCTCCCAGACCCAGACCTCTCCCTCAGAGACTACCAGGTGTGCTGCTTCTGTGGCAGTGCTTGTGTGTGGGAGGTGGTGTTTTCCTCCACGTGTGTTTGGTGGTGACAATGTCCTGTGGCCGCGTTGGAGCGTGAACACGCTCATTTGTGTGTGTGTGATTTCACTTTCCGTTGTTCTTCCTTCTTTCGCGCTCGACGCTCACGACACCACATCACACTCCCCCTCCACCACACGCCCGCCCCCCCCCCCTCCACCACGTTCCCATCCCCAAACGAACAACAGCTGCAAGGCGTGAGCTGGCTGGCGCGGTCGTGGTGCGACGGCAATTCCGTCATCCTCGCTGATGAAATGGGCCTCGGAAAGACAATCCAGAGCATCGTGTTTCTGTCCTACCTCTTCAATGTGCAACGCGTGTACGGCCCGTTTCTGATTGTCGTGCCGCTGTCAACCATCATGGCGTGGTCGCGAGAGCTGCACAAGTGGGCGCCTGCCATGAACACGATTGTGTATGTCGGCAACAAGGCGTCACGCGAGGCGATACGCGACCACGAGTTCTACAACGACCGCGGCAAAATCAAGTTCAACGTGCTTTTGACGACATACGAGAAGGTGAACACCAACCTGGACGACCTGCAGCAGATTCGCTGGGCAGCACTGGTGGTGGACGAGGCGCACCGGCTCAAGAACCACGAGTCCATGCTCCACCAGGCTCTCAGCGACCTGCGACACGACTTTCGCCTCCTCGTCACGGGCACCCCGCTCCAGGTGTGTGTGTGTGGGGGGGGGGCATGGGTGTGTAGGGAGTGTGCATGTGTTTGTGTCTCTGTGCGGGTGAGTGTGTGTGTGTGAGAGAGAGAGAGAGAGCGCACGACAACGGCTCACAATGGCAGCCATAACGGTACAGATAGACATACACACAGAGAAACGCACGCTGAAACCGCACACAAGTTTACGCCTTGCTGTCGTGCCCCAAACATGTACAGAACTCGATGAAGGAGCTGTGGGCGCTTTTGCATTTCATCATGCCCAGGACGTTTGCGTCATGGGAGGAGTTTGAGGAGCGATATGGCGGGCTGGGTGACGACGCGGCCGCAAACCACAAGATGCTGCAGACCCTGCACGAGGACATCAAGCCCTACCTCATTCGCAGAGTCAAGAAGGACGTCGAAAAGTCCCTGCCAAAGAAGGTGCGTGTGTATGTGTGCGTGCGTGTGTGTGTGTGTGTGTTTTGTTTGGTGGGTGCATGCGGTTTGCGTTTCGTGCACCCTTGTTTATTGACTTGTGTGTGCTCAATTGTACCTAATTGTGCGTCCGCCGTTGCGTTTGGGCCATGAGGACGTGCCTACCCGGGCCCCAACGCCCCTGTGAACACAAACACCACTGATTGACTCAACCGCTCTTGTGCGTGCAATGTGTGTAGGTTGAGAAGATCCTGCGTGTGGGGCTAAGCCAGTCGCAGAAGCAAATCTACAAGCACATCATTACCAAGAACTACACGGCCCTGCGCAGTCTGAAGAAGGGCCAGAAGTCCAGTCTTGTGAACGTCATCATGGAGCTCAAGAAGTGCTGCAATCATGCCTCCCTCATCGACCAGGCCCCCCTCTCAAACCCAGACGTCTCCCCAACAGAGGTTGGCCGTGTGTGAGTGAGTGAGTGAGTGTGTGTGTGTGGTGGGGTGGGGGGGTGTGGTGGTGTGTGTGTGTGTGTGTGTGTGTGTACATGCGATCGCTCACCGTTTGATCCTTATCAACAGGGTGTCTTGTATCTGACGTGAGGACTCCCCATTTCGAACGACCCATGGGCAGAGGCGTTTATGTGAGGATAACCGCAATGCAACGTTAGGTTCGGTGACGACTCGCGGCGCGGCAAATCTCAGGGACACGTCTGGCTATAGAGAGGCGCGCGGTACACCCTAGGGATCATCTTATCGAAAGCGCCTGCATGAAAGGAGAACCTACGTTCACGTGTTCGCATGTGTTCACGTGTTCGCATGTGTTCACGTGTTCGCATGTGTTCACGTGTTCGCATGTGTTCACGTGTTCGCATGTGTTCACGTGTTCGCATGTGTTCACGTGTTCGCATGTGTTCACGTGTTCGCATGTGTTCACGTGTTCGCATGTGTTCACGTGTTCGCATGAGACTGTGCATTCCGTAAGAGATCACTCGTGGGTTTGGCTGAACGTCAACGTCAATCCCACGCGTCCCACCCTTTTCATCACACGCCACATTGTAGAACATGCGGAACCTGTTGAAAGGGAGCGGAAAGTTGATCCTGCTGGACAAACTCCTGCAGCGGCTGCACGACAAGGGCCACCGCGTGCTCATCTTCTCCCAGATGGTGCTGATGCTCGATGTGCTGGCGACATATCTCATGATGAAAGGGTACCCGTTCCAGCGACTGGACGGCAACATCCCCAACGAGCGGAGGAAACAGGCGATTGATCACTTCAACGCCCCTGGCTCGGCCGATTTTTGCTTCATTCTCTCCACACGCGCTGGCGGGCTTGGTGTCAATCTCGCCACCGCAGACACTGTCATCATCTTCGATTCAGACTGGAATCCGCAAAATGACCTTCAGGCCCAAGCGCGCGCGCACCGCATTGGCCAGACAAGACAGGTCAGCTGTACGCGTGTGTGTCTGCATTTGCCATGTGTGTGTGTGTGTGTGTCTGTGTCTGCATCTGTGTGTATGTGTGTGTGTGCGTGTGCGTGTGCGTGTGCGTGTGCGTGTGCGTGTGCGTGTGTGTGTGTGTGTGTATCTGTGCCTGTGTGTCTGTACCTTAACCTGCCAGCCACCCTGCCTGTTTGTGTTCTTGTGTTGCGGGATTGTTGACACGAGACCGTGCTTGAGCTGTCATCCTGACTTGTCGTATTTACCGTCCAACCCCCCATGACGCTCACCGCCGCACCCACACGTCTCGCTGCCCCAAAACAGGTGAACATCTACCGGTTTGTGTCGAAGAACACGGTCGAAGAAGACATTCTCGAGCGCGCGAAGAAGAAGATGGTCCTCGATCACCTCGTACGTGTTAGCACCAGAGCGTGTCGTCGTGTGTCGTGCTTGGACGTGCGGGCCCTGCCATGCGTGACACGCAATTGCAGGCGTTCGTTGACACACACACACACAAACACACACACACACACACACACACACACACACACACACTCTCTCTCTCTCTCTCTCTCTCTCTCTCTCTCTCTCTCTCCTCCTTTTCTCTCTTCCCTCCCTCTGTTCCTTTCCTCTCGTCCTCTTCCTTTGCAGGTGATCCAGCGGATGGACACGACGGGGAGCAGCGTGCTGAATCTGCAGAAGAAGAAGTCGGGTGGGGTCGAGTACAACAAGGAGGAGCTCGACGCAATCATCAAGTTTGGCGCCGCAGACCTGTTTGGCGAACAGGAGAGCAGCAGCAGCGGCGGCGGCGGCGGTGGTGATTCAGGTGACCAGGACCTCAAGCTTGATCTCGACACGGTGCTTGAGCAAGCAGAGACACACGACACGCAGGAGGCGGCAACAGGGATGAGCGATGAGCTGCTGTCGGCGTTCAAGACAGTGGACATTGAGACGAACGAGGAAGAGCTTGACGAGGTGGCGCGGAAGGAAGCCGAGGAGCGGGCGAAGCAGGAGGAGGCAGAGAAGGCCAAAGCCAAGGCGCTGGCAGACGAGATTGCAGCCAAGGAGAGCCAGGCCGTCAAGTCGTGGGATGAGATTTTGCCGGAGGACGTGAGGAAGCAAGCGGCCCTGGA